TGATGAGACTTACTTCCAGGTCTGGGTAGTGCACAGAATTTCAGCTTTAGAGGTTTTTCATAACTGTCACCAGGCCCTTTAAAAAGGTAAATTATTTTTTTCTGAACTTTTCTGAGAATCCGTCAGAAAGCTTCATCTGTAGCAGCTAAAAAACTCCAACTGATCACAGAAAATGCATCTGAAGAGTAGCTCTTGTTTACATTCATTTTGTTTAGCAAAACCTTGTTCAACAGAGAGCTATAAATAATTCCAGACACTTGCAATTAGTGTTTGTTTCAGTGCCTGCACCTATGAAATTGCAATATTCATCACAAGGATGTACAAAGCCGTCCCTTGTTTTAGTACAAGGGACCATAAACTTTACAAAGCGGCGCTCTTTTCATGTAGCTTAATGTAACGCTTTTCAGACTGGTGAACACCGTATTTTACAATGCATTTTCATGAGTCATTGGCCCAGGTCTTACCAATTCCTGTGGGGTGGGGGGAGTGCTTCCATTGGTTATCTAACTATTCCATGAAAATATCTTCTTTTGCAGAATACAGTTTGTTATATACATATCATAGGCGTCTAATTGTTTTTAAAGTCATGCTTGCTCAAAAGGTTTTGTCAGGGTTGGGCACAAACTTCAGGCTCATAGGATATTCTTTGTTTTTCACTGGAACGCCAAGATCTATGAAACACAGCCAATGCAAAAGGCATATAATTGAAATGAAAGAACATGATGCTATGGAACATATTCCAACTATAGGAGTTTTCCCCCCAGAACCAAAACTGTTCTGAACTCCAGGGCTGGCCCAAGACACTTTGGCACCTGAGCAAACCACAAAATGACACATCTTCCCACCAAGGAAGACAAGGTGGGTGTGTTAAGTATAATTGTTTAATTGCACACTGAAATGGAGAGTGACTGTATGTATATTGCTGAAGGGTTTAACGCTGGAAAATTCCATCAGAGTTTTCCTGAATATCAGCCTAGGGTAAAGGTAAAGGGGACCCCTGACCATTAGGTCCAGTTGTGACCAACTATGGGGTTGCAGTGCTCATCTCACTTTATTGGCTGAGGGAGCTTCCGGGTCATGACTAAGCCGCTTCTGGCGAACCAGAGCAGCACACGCAAACACCGTTTACCTTCCCGCCGGAGTGGTACGTATTTATCTACTTGCACTTTGACATGCTTTCGAACTGCTAGGTTGGCAGGAGCAGAGACCGAGCAACGGGAGCTCACCCCATCACAGGGATTTGAACCGTGACCTTCTGATCAGCAAGTCCTAGGCTCTGTGGTTTAACCCATAGCACCACCCTAGGGTGTTGCCTAGGGTGCTGCTGGTTTATTCTGAGAAGTTTATTAAGGGAAGTAGGCCCACCCTGTTTCTGAAGCCAACAATATTCTGCTGGTCTTGCATCAGGGCTTTGGGGAGGGAGCTGGGAACATAGGAATCTGTCTTGTGCTGAGTCAGACCAATGGTCTATCTAGCTTGGTACTGTCCACATTAAGTGGCAGCAGCTCTCCAGGGTTTTGACCAAGTAGGCATTCCCAGCCCTACATAGAGATGTCAGGGATTAAACCTGCAACCTTCGACATGCAAAACAAATGTTCTACTGCTGATCCAAGGGGAGAGAAGAGAGAAGGGAAACTCACTAGGAAAGAGGGGCCGTTCTTATTATGTGCACCTTTTGGAAGTCAAAATCTAATACAGCTGCTTTTGAATTTTCCTGCTAGCCAATATTTACTGCATGTGTTTCCAGATCCACTATCCTTCTACCTGCTTTCAAACTCACTTTTTTTTTTTTTTGCATGCTTTCATTAACATTCCTCATTGTCTCTTTACTGGCATTAACATTTAAACAAGAAGTGGGACTTTTCTGCCTTCATTTCCAGAGAATAATGCTCAGAAGGCTATTTTCATATTTCTTTACAATTAAAAAGAAAATTGTGTCTGCTCAAATACAGTGATCTTTCCATACAAAATTGGCTGCTTGGCTTTCCTGAAAGTTGTTTGTAAAGCCCCTTTTAATTTAAGCATTTGAGATGGAAATCAGTGGAAAACAAAAACCCAGATGCAACACTTTTCTTTTCTACAATGAGCACTGATCGGAGCCAGCCTGCACTTGAAAAGTGTGTGGATGTGTATAATTATTATGCCAACCAAAGAGAAAAATAATAATCGTAAGATGTTAAAATACAAAATTACCCCAGATGCCCTTGTCTCTCTTTTTTTCATCAGTTATTCAGGCTGAACAAGAAAATATGTACTCTTTATTTTAGGCTGAAAATACACTTTTAAAGAGTTGTCACTTGGAGTTAACCATGTTGCAGAAGCAGCAACAGCTCGTGAAGTAGTTTGCTGGAAGTATAATAAAGTATAATAAAGTGTTGCTGATCAGTGACTGGGGGCAGGGGATCTAGTGCCGTTATCAGAGACCAGTGCTTTTTTCTGGGGGTACGGAGGCGTACGCATACCCCTAAACATTTTGTAAATCTTTGTACTTTTGTCCATTTACTTTATTTATTTTTCCTGATTTGAATTATAAAATGGTGATTTTTTTGAGTCAAAATGAGAGTACCCCTAAACATTTTTAAAAGGAAAAAAGCACTGCTGGAGACCATCATGAAATAGCACCGTAACTACTGACACAAGGAGATCTAAAGCTGCTGAACTGCTCACAGAGCCAAGTGCCTCTTCCTAACACCCCAACAATTTCTCAAAAGATTTCTTCCCCTGCAAAGCAGGCTTCCATTTCCCTGCCCAATTCTTCGGGCCCTTAAGGTTTCCCTTAGGAAATCTGCAGGTGCAGAGCTCTGAGCTTAGCATAGCATTGTGAGACGGCTAAAAGTAGTGTGTGGTTTCTAGCCCATCAACTCAGCAAACTCCCTGGCTGCCTATGCTTCTCAATATGAAGAAGCCCCATAAGAGAAGCTGCTATATCTTTCCCGAGCTTTAACTTAAGGGTGGGGGGCTCTGGGCATGTCACTGGTGAGCTTGGTTTGATTTCTCAGGAAAGAAAAGGGGTGGGAGATCATGTTTTAACTTTCTGGAGAAACCAAGCTACTCAAAAGATTGGGAGCCTTCCACATCTCCCTCAGCGTGCATTGGTAATGGCACAGCCTGACTAGGGAGCAAGGAAGTCTGAGCCAAATCTCCCTGGTTTGCCTTGTTATTCAGGGTACCCATAGAGGGGCTGCATACCCTTACTAGATGTCCTGCTTCCCTCAACCTCCCACACAATATATAGTCCATACTCTCCACCACCTTTTTTCTTTTCCCCATTCCTAAAATCTGCCTGGTGGTAGCAATGAGAGGCTAATGGCAGGGCCATGTTGGGCAAGCGTTTCCAATGGCAACATTGGATGAGCTGGTTGGCTCACCTTAGAGCAGTGTTTCCCAACCGGTGTTCCGCGGCACACGAGTGTGCCGTGAGACGTTGCCTCGTGTGCCGCGAGATGCCTGGAGGGAGGCGGGCGAGTCGGGTGGCGAGAGGCGGGGCGGCGGCGGCGAGGAGAGGCCGCGCCTCCTGCTGCTGCCTGGCGCTCCTCCTCGCAGCCGGCAGCGCTGCCTGGGCGCCTCCGCGCGACTCTGCCTCGCTGGGTTTGGTCTCCCAGCAGAGACGGGTCACACGCGCCCCTCCCTCCCTCCCTCAGCCTGCGCGGAGGGAGAGCCAGAGAGAGGCATCGCTCCTGCGCGGCGGGAGAGGGAGCAGCCGGAGCGATGCCCCAAACGAACGCATGGGACCGGAGGGGAAATCCTCTCTGAGGCGGATTGAGCGCAGCTGAGAGAAGCCTTTCGAGGAGCTGCCGTGTCCCCTGGAAACCCCCTTCCCAGCTCTGCCTCAGCCGCCGCCGCCTCAGTTGCCGCCGTCCCTCAGTCCCTCGCTCTGCTGCCTCCTCCCACCCCCAAAGCTTGGAGGTTCCCCAGCAAGGGGGAGGGAAAAAACTGCCTTTGGAATAACTAAATTATATTTACCTCATGAGTCCATGAGAAGTTTGACACATTCCCCAAGAGGATGGGTGTGAATTACCCTGGTGGGTGAAACTGAAAGATGGGCTTGCCCTTTCTCCAAGTTTCAAGGCTTCAGCCACAACCATTGAAAAGGCACAGTTGCCTCTCTTTTATTAGGGTTTCAGTTCTTTGGCTCAAGGAGCCCCCTCAGCAGATTTTAGTTGTCTGTACAATATGTGTAACTTACCTGCGGCTTTCATGTGATGGTAGCTCCTCCGATGGGCTTTCTGCCCCTCTCCCCATCTGCATCTTGGCATTTCAAGATTAAATGAAGCACATACTTTAAATATGAATTTTCTCCTCCTGCTCCTGCTGCCAAACCGCCTACGGTGCTTTCCCCACAAGCCTTCAGTAATATTCCTTTATTCCTCTCTTTGACAGATAATCCCTTTGGAAAGTTTTGAAGATGTTTTTAATAGACTCAAGGACAATAAATGCTTCTTTCTACATTGCCTGATTAAGAGGATAAGAAGCCCCCAAACCTTTAAGTAGTCCATTATATCCTTTGAACAGTAGTTTAAGTGTAGGGATGATTGTGCAGGTTCTCATGGGATGGCAAGACAGAGGAATGTCCTCCAGCATCATTTGGCAAATTAGCATCTCAGGGATAAGACTCAGCTAGAGTATTCCCCTTCAATACAATTCTTATAGTAGTCTACACAGCCCTGAATAACAAGCCCAGGATACTTTAAGGACCACCTTATCCTGTTCACTCCGTGTCGATCACTGAGACCATCAGGAGGAGCAGTTAGTCGCTCCCTATGGACCCAAAGCAGCAAGGAGTCACGGCTTCAGTGTGGTTTTCCCAACTCTAGGGAACTTTCTCCCTCAAGAAGTTAGACAAGCACCATCCCTACTGAGTTTCAGGCACCTTGCCAAATCCGTCTTATCAGATTGAATGTGTGGATGTGTGTGCAAAGTTACTTGTCGACCTCGATATGCAATAATGATACTTATGAAACAGGATTGGTTAATAAAATAAAAATTCTTAATAGCATTTCTTTACAAAACAGAGTGATTTATAATAAGCAAGTTACAGATCAGGGCAGAATAATATTTCAAAAAACTGGACTGTATTACAAAGCATTTTTTTTCCAAACATCCATTTCTCTTGGATTATTGCTGAAAGATACTAATCAATCTATTTCAGAAATCTCTAGACTAATTTACAAACATCCATAAAATAGTGAAAAAATTGCATGCTTTAGAAACCTGGTACATTTTCATGCCTCTGGACTAAAAAGATGAAGACGATAGCAAATGAAGAACGTTTTAAAGAGAGCTGGGTGATGTTTACAGAGTCTTTCCCTTGATTTTAGCCAATGCTTCAGGGTTGTTTTCTTTTCTCTCTGTTGATTTTTTAATTTCTGGTTTCATCCATGGAGGACTGTGTGACTTCTGTTAACAGATGGAGAAAAACGCAATCAGTGTTAAAATATTACAAGTGGGACTTGCAGCACAATGTTGCAAGGAATCTCCAACCTTCAGTACCTTCTTTTAAACACCTGCTGAAAACTTTCCTATTCTGTCAGCCCTGTGTGGGCAATTAAGAGTACATCCCCCACAACGGTCTATTGTTTTTATTTTATCTTATTGCTTTCAACATGTTTTTTTAACTTTTTAGGATGTTATTGCTTGGTTTTATGTTTTTATATCGCTGTAAACCATGGTATATTTTTATGATACAGCAGTATATAAATATTTCTTTTTATAAATAAATGCAATAAAATAAATGAGTGATATTTCCCTACCCTATCTGAAGGAGCGTCTCCACCCCCTCGTTCTGCCTGGACACTGAGGTCCAGCTCCGAGGTCCTTCTGGCGGTTCCCTCACTGCGAGAAGCCAAGTTACAGGGAACCAGGCAGAGGGCCTTCTCGGTAGTGGTGCCCTCCCTGTGGAACACCCTCCCACCAGATGTCAAAGAGAACAACAACTACCAGGCTTTTAGAAGACATCTGAAGGTAGCCCTGTTTCGGGAAGCTTTTAATGTTTGATGTATTATAGTATTTTAATATTCTTTTGGAAGCTGCCCAGAGTGGCTGGGGAAGCCCAGCCAGATGGGCGGGGTATAAATAATAAATTATTATTATTATTATTATTATTATTATTATTATTATTATTACCCCAGAGGAGAGTGGTAAAATTTCCTTTGGTAAAACCCAGGCTCCTTTGAAAGGCAGGTAGCAAATCACTTTCCTTGCAAGGCTTTCAGAGCCTCAGCACCAGCAAGGGGCATTTTTCTGTTTCACTCCAAACCAGGAGAAGAGGAGAGAAATCTTGCTCACTGGCATTTCCTCCCCATTTCATCCACAAGGCTATTTTCAGGAACCCATGTACACCTGCCATACATGATGTCAGATGCAGGACAGGTCCGCTCCCTTTCCCCGGGGGGCAGTATTGTGGGACGGGATCTGGGACCTCCCAGTGTCCTGGCTGTGGGCGGAGGGATGCTGCCCGTGTCATAGGGACTCCTGGCCGTGTCACACACCCCAGCTGACCAATCAGAATGGCTAGGGGGCGTGGCTGCTTGCTGTTTAAATGGTGGCACGGCCAGAGGGTGACTTCCTTTTACCTCCCATTAACCTAAATATTTGTGTCCGTGTGTTTATTATCTAAGGGAACTGTGGGGCCCAGGCCTTGCCATGCAAGTAAGGGGTGGGAGAGATGAAGGGGGAAGGAAAAACAAACACCAGAGTGAGGAAAGAGTGTTTAGGAAGACTTCAGCCTGTAACTTTAGGTGTAACTTCAGCCTGCAAAAAGCATTTTTGTTTAGGTAAGCTTATCCAGAAATGTAGAATGGTGACATGCTTTAATTTGGTTTTAGCTTATCATTGATTTTAATTATTTTTGAATGTTGATATACTGCAGCTGTTTTTAACTTCTTCTTTTTTTACTGATAATTCTATTATTTAATCCTTGATGCAAACAGCTTTGAGGTTTCATTACAGTCAAGTAGTATGTAAATCTTGTGGAATAAATAGCTTGTAAACAGAAGGAGTAATTCTCAATATCAGTGCTCACTGGAAGGGAACAGCTTTGCTACAGCAAACCTTATGCTTTCTAAGAAAATACATCTGTCAGGGCCGCCTCAGGTCCCAGCTCACAAGAGACCAACGCCAAGTCCACTTTATTTACAAAAGTCTTTATTGAAGTACATTGTTTGCTCCACAGCCGAGGCGCGCAGCCCCACGTCTGTTACGCTTAGACCGCTGAAGTCCCCTCTGAATCAGTCCTGCCTCCACACCAGTTTAAGAGGCTTCTGCTGGTCCACCTCTTCCTGTCCTTCCTTTTCCGCAGGGTCTTTCTGCCCCCCTGGGTTCCTTCCCTCCTGCTTTCCCCTGACGCTGAGTCCCCAGACGCCTGCTCCCCCCTCCTCCGTGCTTTGGGACCAGGCTCCTCCTCCGGGCTCTCCGCATTTCCGCGCGCCTCCACATTTGAACTTGGCACGCGTTCGCTACCTCTGACCTTCCTCTTGACAGCTACACTACTCTCTGTACTACTCTCCGCCCCTTCCGGCAGGACGTCTTGCCCCGATCTCCTTCCCCTCTCTGCTTCCTGCTCTGCTTCGTCTGTCACACTGGGAACTCCACCCTCTTCACTCCGTTCTGGCGGGGAAGCCGCCCCCGATCTCCCACTCCCACTCGGGATTTCCCTGCTGCTCCCCTGCTCCTGACGAGTCCCCCCTGTGGCTCCCCTTGGCCTGACCAGGGGCGCCCCCTTTTGGGAATCGTCCAATTCACTTGAAAGACTCATGGAAACCCTCAAGTCATTGTCATCCTCCTCCTCCTCGTTCCGGGATTATTCCCCCTCGCTCTCAGTCTCCTCCCTCATCTGTGCCTCTCTTCCTGAACCCCTGACAACATCCATCCTCTTATTTTTTACATCAGCAAGGTCAGAAGGCATTGGTAAAAGAAGAAGAAGAAGAAGAAGAAGAAGAAGAAGAAGAAGAAGAAGAAGAAGAAGAAGAAGAAGAAATCCATATAGCCTGTATTGATAGAACCAAGGTGTCCTGATGGGTAGTTGAAGTTGAGGGAAATATAAAATATTTCCAAGATACAAAACATATAAATGTTCTGGATCTTCCAAAGTATTGGAGATCTTTAGATTATGTCCTATCTTTTCCAGGATCCATGCATTTTTATACCACATATCTGCCCTGTAAAGTCTCCCATGTTTGTGCTATAGATATTCTGACTCCTGCCAACAGCTTTGTTTTAAGTTCCTTAGAACATAATAATTTATTATGACCTGCCTGTATATTTAACAATGAAAGCAGTGAGGCCATTTGTATAGTAATCTCTATGCTATTCAAAACCTCCTGATATACATTAGACCAGAAATCCTTTGCAAGTGGGCACTCTCACCACAGATGGAAGCATGTTCCTCATGCACCACATCCACACCAACACACTAATGCCAGTCTTGGGGTCATAAGGACATCTGTTTTGGAGTGTGGTGCCGTCTATGAGAACTGTCAAATGATCGTCCCTGGGTGTCATTTTTTGGAATGCATTCATTAATTACTGCCCTCAGACATCTCTCGGAATGCAGATGTTTCAGAAATGAAAACAACTGAAGAAAACAAATCTTCACATTTTATAATTTGCTCAGTATTTATAGAGACAACAAGATTAGCACCTGCATATCTGGGTCTGTTTCTGCCACCTTTAGCTGAAGAGAGGTTGAATTGTTCTGGTTTCCTAAGCAAGTCTTGCCAACCTGAAAAGGGAAACCATGGCATCGTGATTCAACCAGTCAATCATAATTTGTATCTCAGTCCAGTAGAATACAACTGCAAATAATGGTCCAAGAGTTTCTGAGCACATCGACCCCATATCTTTTGTAACATTTGAAGATTTGAATGCAAAGAGTTAGAAATGTATCTCGGAAAGGTGCAGCTGGGTGGTGCTCTGGAGCACATTTTCAACAAGTATGCAAATAAGAATTTCCCCTTCAAATATTACAGAACAGATATGAAAACATGCAGACCCATTATTTCCTGCAAAGGAGTCCTAATTCATAGCATTATCATTATGTCATAATTAAAATAATGGAAATTATCTGTGGCAAATAAACAGGAAAACTCTCAGAGAGGAACAGAGTATTTAATTATTTTCTTTGCAAAAAAAATATATTATCCACACACATTTATTCGTGTTATTTAATAAAAGTACATTCTTGTTTCTCTTTCTGAGATAAAGAGTGTTAATTGGCAATTAACCACAGTGTGGAACTTCAACCGTATTAGAGATGCAGGGTGGCTGACTATTTCACATGTACAGTTTCATATTCTATCTTTCTATGAGAAATCATTTGAATCTGAACCACACTTCCCCAAGATATTTAGAATGTGTTCCTGGGGTGTATCAAAATATCAAGAAGTTGTCATAAACAAGCAGTGACTTCCAAGACACCTAGTATCATCCATTTTTGTGATATTTTCAAACATATGTAACATTTCATGCAACAGAACAATTTTATGCTAAAAATACTTCCTGCATTCTTAATATAAATGTTCTAAACACTCCCCACTTAGGTCAAAACTACATTAGTGGCAATAGTGGGAGAGAGGGGAGTTTGGAGGAGGAACAGGAAATAAGAAAGGAGAGGGAAATGGTGATTGTGAGAGCAGGCCCTGAAATAGCGCTGTTTATAATATTACACTGTTTATAATAAGTTGGGAATTGCTCATTGAGTTGCAAAATCAGTGTCACATGAAACAATGGCCATTAACTTTGATGGCATTTAGAGAAAATCATGGAGGATGAGTTAAAACAGTGTTGGCATCTGACTGTCTTGGGAGACAATGGAAGAGTGGGCCTTCAGGGTTAAAGTCAAACCACTGGACATTTATAGTACCTGCTGTGTCTGTAGGGACAGATAAAGGAGAGACATGTTTTATTGCAGCTGGGGCAGAGGAAGGCATCCAGTTTTGCTGCAACAGGTGTGCCATGGCATGTCTTTTTTCCTGCAATCCTCCCATCAGTCATTCCTCCTCTGGTCACTGCTGTGGATACATGACCTGACACTCTGTCTGCAGGCACTGTGATTGTTAATGAGTTAATGGCTAATAGTAATAGTGACTTTACAGAGACTCTTAAGTCTGGAGTTCAAGAATTAGTTGTTGGTAGCAACAACAGGAGAGAGCTCTTGTCTTTATGTTGACCACTGTGAGAAACAGAATGCTGAACCAGCTGAACTACTGCTTTGACCCACTAAGATTTGGCAGCATGTGACCCATAGATGAAACCCAACTGTCTGCCATCCAGTTAGATTGCTGTTGGCCACCACACAAGCAAAAGAACAAGGAAACTGCAGTCTTGCCTCCCATACTATTTTTATTTTTTTGTAACTGTAGGATTAATTTAGCTTGAGTAATCTGCACAGAAGACTTCCAACTGTTCACATGGGGTGTTCAAGAGAAAACAAAGTTTCAGTTTTCCAAAGTTCCTTGTTGTGAACTTCAACAGCCCATCTTCTTACAGAAGACAGCATTCAAGACTGGACCACCAAGCAGCCCATCGGTCTATTTGCAGCAGAATCCTATGCGTGTGTACTCAGAAGTTGAGTCACAATGTGTACAGAAGCAAACAACCCAAATTGCACACCTGCATTTCTTGCATGCAAGTGCTCCACTCCTTTGTATAGCAGTCTTTTTGTCTTACACTGATAGATCAGGGATCTTTCATAGGGATTGTAGTTCATGTGTTTTACAAAATATGGAACAATTAAGTAAATACCGAAACATGTTACAATGTAGGAAACAGATTTTTGTGTGTGGATGTAATATAAAAAACAACAACCAACCATATAGTTTTTACATAAAATGTTAGAAGCGAAGAACAGGATCCCTCCCACTCTCAGCATGATTTCTCATCTTGGCCCCTTTGGAGCTAGTTACTGTGGAGACAGGATACTATGCTGAACATACCACAATTCTCAAACCACCATGTCTTCCTCCTCCTCTCTCTTGCTATGAGTGCCTGGAGTATTGACAACCTGTCAGACACACCAGCTGCTTTTACTTATGAACAATAACAATAACCCCATCAGTGTCAATTGGCAGAGACAAAACCAAAATTTAATGCCAACCCAGAGTTGCATGGTTTGTGAAGGAGTGATAGTTCCATCCAAAGTGGAGTGACTAACAACCTTGTGTGCAATCGACTGTGCCATGAGCAATGTATCCTTTCACATATGGATAAGCATTTTTCTTCTTAGATGAGATATAAGGTTTATGAAGCAGGTCTTGATCTCATCCAAGTTAGGCTGCCACAGCCACTACTGCTGAAGCTGCACATATATAATAATTCCTGTTGTTTTGGCTCATCCTTCCATTCTCCGACATCCTTCTGGCTCTCATCCATTGACAAGATCTATCCATCTTAGAGAACATCTGGTCTGATACTTCATGGATATAAGTTTCAAAACCCTTGAAATCAAATGATAAGAGTGGACAAGATATTCAACCAGGGCAGCTGGGTGGACCGAAATGCCTTTCTCCATTCCATTTCAGGGAAAGATAGTTAAAATAGGGTTAAAAGGGATTAAAAATTTGCTGACACAGTTTACCATTGATGTTCAAGGCAGCGGTACTCCTCCCAGTGGCCAAAAGCCACCATTTTTGTACTCCAGCATGTCCCTGGGAGCTGGAAGTTCAGGACACAGAATTGTGCACAAAGGCTACAAAAATACGATAAGCTTCTTCTTCTTTGGCGATCACTCGTAGCCAAGTAAGATTATCTTCCATAAACATGGTTGTAACAATGAATCCATAAGTGACTATGGAGGCCAATTCTGGATCCACACATCCTTCCACAGTGGGGACATTGGTTTCTGAGTGGGAGTTGATCACGGTGTGCATTTGCCAAGTGTGCCTTCCTCTTAGCACGTTTCTCCCTTGCGTCCTGAGTTGAGTGTCTTCAAAGCCCATGACACCTTTGGTAAAGGCTGTTCTCCAACTGGAGTGCTCGCAGGCCAGTGTTTCCCTGTTGTCAGTGTTTATACTAAATTTTTTTAGATTTGCCTTGAGACAGTCTTTAAACCTCTTTTGTTGACCATCAGCATTACACTTTCCATTTTTAAGTTCGGAATAGAGTAGTTGCTTTGGAAGATGATCATCAGGCATCTGCACAACATGACCAGTCCAACGAAGTTGATGTTGAAGAATCATTGCTTCAACACTGGTGATCTTTGCTTCTTCCAGTACACTGATAATAGTTTGCCTGTCTTCGCAAGTGATGTGTAATTTTTTTCGGAGACACAGTTGATGGAATCTTTCAAGGTGCTGGAGATGGCATTTATAAGTGGTCCATGTTTCACAAGCATATAGTAAGGTTGGTAGTACAATAGCTTTGTAAACAAGCATTTTGGTTTCCCTGCGAATGTCCCAGTCCTCAAACACTCTGCACTTCAATCGGGAGAAAGCCGCACTCGCAGAGCTCAGGTGATGCTGGATTTCGGCACAGACCTCCGGAACGAATTAAGTACTTAACCCAAGGTACCACTGTATGTGTTTGATGTTATAAAGAAAAAAAAAAAGGAGTAACAGCATTAGCTCTGTGTCTCTTATAAGATAACCCTTTGTGAAAGTAATGATCCTCCATCAGGCTTCATCTCTTTCATAAGGGCATCCAGGCTTGAAGAAAATATAGCTGCAAAAGTTCATTTAAACTCTTCTTGCCTATGTGCACTCTTTGGGATTTATAGGGTGAGTTTGCACTTTTTCTGTCACAGAATTTCAATGTGGACTTTCAATCTCTATAGCATGGTATGAAATGAAATTCCATAACGCTGCTTGGAAGATTAAGGCCATGATCTCTGGATAATCATCTTGCTTCTCTTACTTAATATCTACCTGCAAGTCCAAGTTGCTCAACAAATGTTTCAGAGTCAATGTTGAAAATGGAGCGATATATTTTCATGTGGCTGTTCTTATTAGCTCTACGTGGAGTGACAGACAAATAAAGTATGTGGGAGTTAGGGCAGAGAGGATAGCAAAGATGGATGAGTCTGTATACCCGAGAGGCCATTGTATTAAGCAAGGAGGATACAATTCAGTGGAGATGCAATGGCTGACATGAAATTATCTTTGGAATGGCTGCTCTTGAGAAGGGAGGAATTATGTTATTTTAAGAACCAAGGTACTGAGCTATATTGCACAGTAGGAAGAAGCAACAACACTCCATTATATGCAACATTAAGGCATTTAACTAGGATAATTTAAAACAAAAAAAAATGAAGTAATCTGAAAACAAGTCATTGCGTGGCAAGTCCCCTCCCCCCATGTGAAATGAAGACACTGGACACATGTTAAGGTTAATGGGCATAAAAAGGCCACAACTTTATTGATTACAGGAATTGAAGGGTATTGGCCTTAGGCATTGGCTCCTATCGACTACCCGGCACGGAGACCGGGAAGGGTTATCCACAAGCCGTGGGAGTCCTGTTGAAGTATGCCAACTAGGATCCCACGGGTGTCACCGCTCGGGGGCGTGCCGGGGGCTCTCACCTCCCTAGGTTTCGGACAGGGCAACGCCCCCCGGAGTCCTCTACCGGACTACCCTTTTCATTGGGGGAAGGTGATGGCACTTCCTTCCCCCCTTCATTTGCATAACAATTCCCCCTGCCAATGCCTAACCGCCAATACCGAGGAAGCTGTGACGTTTGCTACAAGGTAGGCGAAAAAACCAAAAGGCTGGAAGTGCGCCAAGTTGGAA